TATAAAAATAAGTCCATGTTTAAAGACTTTGTTCTCTTGTTGTGTGTTTTTTATTGGTGTGCTTTTCTGAACATTTGTGTCTTTGATCATAGAATCGAGGAAGGATCCAATTTGTATGCTTTTCTGAACATATGTGCATTGATTTCTTGATCCAGTCTATCTTTATAGTAAAAACTATACATAATCTCATTATTCGCATCATAATATTTGAAATTTTCCTTACACTATGGCAAGACAAAACTATATCCATAGCAAACAGCTACAAAAGATCAAATAAGTCTTTATTATGGATTTATTAGTCTTTAGACAAAATAAACTACAATTGCTTCACCAATTGCTTTGAGTCATTATCCTTACTTGGGATATTTATTTTTATCATAAAAAATGATGCATGTTACATATTAATTTAGTGCATCTTAAGAACTTACAACAACAACAACATACCCAATAAAATCCCACTAGTGGGGTCTGGGGAGAGTAGAGTGTACGCAGACCTTATCCCTACCCCGAAAAGGGTAAAGAGGTTTTTTTCGGGAGACTCTTGGCTCAACAGAAGAGACAATAATATCAGGAGAGAAACAAAAGAAAAGACCTGTAATAACAAAAGATGCAAGAAAGATAATAACAGCAACGAATAAGTGAAAGAACAATAACACAAAAACTATGCAAAACAACAATATGAACACAACATAGACCGCTAACAAACCTAAACAAAACTCTATCAGACTACCCGGTACAAAGAAGGAAGAACTCTCGACCACCCCCTAGCCTACCACCCTAATGCTCGACCTCCACATGTTCCTATCAAGAGGCATGTCCTCGGAAATCTGAAGTCGCGCTATGTCCTGCCTGATAACCTCGCCCCAATACTTCTTACGCCGCCCTCTGCCTCTTCTCGTCCCTGCCAAAGCCAACTGCTCACACCTCCTAACCGGGGCATCTATGGTTCTCCTCCGCACGTACCCGAACCACCTAAGCCTCGCTTCCCGCATCTTGTCGTCCATGGAGGCAACGCCCACCCTCTCTCGAATATCTTCATTCCTTATCTTATCTAGTTTAGTATGCCCACACATCCATCTCAACATTCTCATTTCGGCTACTTTCATCTTCTGGATATGTGAATTCTTCACTGGCCAACACTCAACCCCATACAACATAGCCGGTCTAACCACCGCTCTGTAAAACTTACCTTTGAGTTCCGGTGACATCTTCTTGTCACACAAGACTCCAGATGCTAACCGTCATTTCATCCACCCCACCCCAATACGATGCGTGACATCCTCGTCGATCTCCCCATCTCCATGGATGATTGACCCTAGGTACTTGAAACTTTCTCTCTTGGGGATGACTTGTGAGTCGAGCCTCACTACCATGTCCGCTTCCCCCGTCACGCTGCTGAACTTACACTCCACATATTCCGTCTTTGTCCTACTCAACTTGAAACCTTTGGACTCCAGGGTCTGCCTCCAAACCTCCAGTCTCTCATTAACGCCTCCCGCGTCTCATCAATCAGAACTATATCATCAGCGAACAACAAACACCATGGCACCTCCCCTTGAATATGGTGTGTCAGGGCATCCATCGCCTATATCATCAGCGAACAACAAACACCATGGCACCTCCCCTTGAATATGGTGTGTCAGGGCGTCCATCGCCAGGGCAAATAAGAACGGGCTAAGCGCAGATCCTTGGTGTAACCCCATAACCACCGGAAACAGCTCTGAGTCACCTCCCGCGGTCCTGACCCGTGTCCTAGCTCCATCATACATATCTTTTATCGATTTAATGTACGCTACCGGCACCCTTTTCACCTCCAGGCATCTCCAAAGCACGTCCCGAGGGACCTTGTCGTACGCCTTCTCTAGGTCAATAAACATCATGTGCAAATCCCTCTTCCTATCCCTGTACTGTTCCACCAACCTCCTGATAAGGTGGATAGCTTCCATAGTAGAACGTCCCGGCTTGAACCCGAACTTGATAGATAGAAAAGCAATAGACAGTCAGTTGAATATTTTTGCTACCAAATTTGATTTTTTGGCTCTGATACCAAGTT